AGTATTCAGATCAAGTCTGATTCAGGTCTGTTCCTACACTGCTCCCTGCCTCCTAGGGGAGAACTGAAAGAAGAGGAGGCCATGGGTGGAGACCACTAAGCTAAGTCAGGGTGAGAGGAGCAGACATCAAGTGAGGAGGAGAGGAGGCAACGGGAGGAGGAGGAGATAGGAGGAAGGCAAATGTAACCAGTTAGTGATTAGGTCTGGAGAAGGCACCTCTCATGCCTGACAGTTCTGACTTGGACAGTGTATTGATAGGAGATTCAGAAGGAATGTGCTGAGAAGTGGGGGTAACGAGGTGGCCAAGTGTTTTCAGGGAGTGCATTGAGGGACACTAGGAAATGCAGGACTCCTGAGAGAGGCTAGAGCTGAATGGAGTCACTGGTATGTTGGCAGTAACTGGAGATGTGGGGTGGGTAAGAAGCCAGAGGCAGTGGGCAGTGGGAATGCAGGGGCCACAGAGCCATCTGAGGAAGTAGTCAGAGGTGGAAGGAGCCAGGAGACCATTGGTGGGATGAGTGTCCAGGAGGAGAGTCTCCAACTTCATTTGAGTCCCACAAAAAAGTAAAATTGAGGCCTGACAGGGCCCATGGATTTAGATTTGACAGTGCTTAGGGATTGATACAAGTGACTGAGTAAAACTGTAGCAGAAGCTCCATGACTGACCTTGCTCAGGTGACTTTATGTAGGTCTTTCTCCTACTGGCTTTTTGTTAATGGTGTTGTTTTCCCCGTATTTACCCAGGGACCATCAATGATGTCACATTTGGATTAGGAGTCAGCTACATAGGCACACCACGGACACCTTCAGTCAAAGGCAAGTTCCTTTCCTGTCAGATTTATTAGCCGCTTTTGAGTTCTGGGAAGTCTGAATTTGTGTCTGACTCCCTTTCAGAGAAAATTGAAGCCCAGTGTCAAGGAAATGACATTTTATGTTTATCGCTTCCTGATAAACCGTAAGTTTACCAAGAGTTCCTTTTGAGGTAAATGTTTGTGTCAGTGTTTTATCTTTAGTTCCAGAATGATTGTCTCTTTCCTTTCCCTAGGCCGCCACAGCCTCAGCAGTGGAATGTGAAGTCCCCGGCCAGAAATAAAGATAACCCAGCCCCTAGCAGGAGGTCACTCAGAAAGACACCCCTGAAAACAGCCAACTGAAACAGTCATTCAGGAGTATCCGGGAGGCAAGAGCTCTAAGGAGATGTTGTCTCCTGCCTGTGGAAAGGCAGAATCCACCTCCCTCACTCCCAGGGTGAGGGAGACTTTTACTGTGTGATACCAGAGTTTTTTCTTGTGACTCTAGCACTCTGTTTATCTTTGTGGCTGGCCAACCTTTTACATTTCTCTTTATGCAATATGTGGTTAAAAAAAAAAAAAAAAAAATATATATATATATATATATATATATATATATATAATATAGAACTGCCTTAGCTATTTAATATTCTAATTTTATTCCATTTGGAAGTATCATGTTCATTCTGATAAAGCATACTCTGGTCTTTAAGGAACTCAACAGATCAGCTTTCTTTTATATAAATGAAGGCTCTGTTTGTTATATGGTCAGAATTCCCTATAGTACAGTAGTTTCCTGTATCTAATGATGAAATTTTCATTGTAATTATTTTTTTTATTCTTATTTATAAATTGCAGGTTTTTAAAGTGTACAGCTTTATAATGGAATAATAAAGGTTAAGCATAAATATAGCCTTCTGGTTATTTAATAGAATATTTCTACTTTTAGAACAGGGCTTTTACTGGTAGTCATTTTGATTCACATTAAGTGTTTAAGAATAATAAAACCCTCCTAGCCTCAAGAACTGTGAGAAATAAATGTCTGTTGTTTAAAAAAAAAAAAAAAAGAGAAAGAAAAAGAATAAAACCCAACTTTTCTTTTAGGAAAAAAAAAAAATGACTCCCTTTGTCTTTAAGGTTCAGCTCATCTGTCCCTCTGCTTCTGTACCCTGACAGAAGCTGTCTGCCTCCTAATAGCACACATCTGTCTTCAAATGTAAACATGGGCTGGCTCATGAAAGTTCCACCTATGTGTGGCATGCACTAATGCTGGTTTGTATTAACAGTCCACAAAGACTGCTCCCATGAAGAGGGAAGGTCTTGGTGTCTTCTGCTGATACCGTTAGGTAACCTTAAAACACGTGTACATTCATGTTTTATCCAAGAGTGGGGAAAAAATTCAGTCAGTTCCCTTTTTAATCCCGGTACTATAGAAGCAAAATTACAGGGTTACTGTGTTGATATGTTTTTTTAGTATAAATGTGGTAGTTGCATTTGAGGGGTAGAATGTCACTGTGCTTTGTGTCTATTCTACAGTCCTCCCATCTATGAATGGTGACACACATGGAGATGTCATTGGCAGAGAGAGTCACAAAGCTGCTCTTGAGTAAGGACAGTTATCTCCCAATTAAGTAGATGGTAATTGATGGCAGCCTCTTTTGAAACCTGGGATTGTGCCATTTTAAGTGTACCTTCCTAACAAAATGCTAGGAAAATGAGGTAAACTCAACATAAGAGCACATAAGGAGGAGAAATAATGAGACAAAGTTGATTTTTTTAAAAGCTTTTATAAATGAGGTTTAACAAATACCAACTTAAAGATGTGTTAGTACAAGTCTGCAACGTCTATGTACAGCAACAGCCACACCAGAGGCCACAGTAGCCTTATAGAAGCTTCGAGTCTTCAGTCACATTCACATCTTAAAAACACATGAATGTTCCTTTTCTGTCTACATTTTTACAGTATTAGGCAACAACTTCCCAGACTCCATACTCACTTCTGTCAGACCCAGTTCACATGGCACTAGGATAGGAGGTGTTGTGGTCACAAGAAGGGAGTCAACAAGGCCGTCCTATCACTTGGACAACCAAGATGGCAGCTAGAGTGTTGCTCCCCAACAATTAGAGAACAGGGACTCTATCCCTTTCTACCAAGATGGGGTGAAGATGAAGGGATATCTTAAGTCTAAGCATTCAAGACACAAACGCAAAAGAAGATGGGTACCATTAAGCAATTATGAAGAGTTGCCCACCACTTCTGCCAAATACCCCATGGCAGAGTATTCACAGAACTTAAAAAAGAAAAGTCAACATAAGTCTCAAGTATTCAATTAAAAAAAACCCTCCAAGTATAAAAAATTAAGACACTGGAAGTTTAATCCCAAGATGACTCTATCCTTCTGGATAAAAACCATCCTTGAAGCACACTGGAGGCACTGGGACTGGAGCGCTCTTCTGAGAAGCTCCCTCTTCGAACAGCTTCACATCATGAGTTTAACACAGCAATGTATCTAAGGTGAAGAACATCTGCTCTTGAAGAACAAAGGCTTTTAAATGATGTTTCTAATGTCCCACACCCAGTGAGCAGCAGTGTCTTGGGTAGGTAAAGACTTTAAAAAAATCAGAAAATGGCCTTTGATTCAGGCATTTCGCTTTCCTCACCATCAGGCTTTCTGCTCTGGCTGCAATACCTGATGTTCTTCAAAGGGATGGCCTCACCGCCACCACACAATGGGTTTATTGTGAAGTGAGACACAACTTGTGGTGTCTCTGTGCTTTCTTCATGGCAAAGAGGAAGGGTGGAATTCATTTTCTTAAAAAAACATTATTGTAGTTTTTAGAACGGCCTTTGGCCCTGGACAGTCTTATGAACTACACAAATAAGTAAAATGAATTTTAAAACCAAACAGCAGAGGCTGCTTTGTTTCAGGAGCCATTCACAAACAAAGAGCTCTGTCACAGGGGATCCAAAGGCTGGGATACCACAGGGAAGACACCCACCCTTCTTGAAATGTCCACCTTACAACTAACTGTCCAACACTATAAAGCTAATCAGCACACAAAGCCACCGTCAGGCCAATAAAGATGGCAGTGCACATGCTGGCTAGCCTTCAAAGTTAGTAGCCAATATCAACTTAGAGCGTGGAGCAGGACTCAAGCCCGGGGGTGGGCTAACATGGTTTCACAGGTACATCCAACCACTTACGGGTGGTGTCTCTGGGCTTAGGTAGTCTGAGTAATCTAGGAAGAGACTGTTCAAAGCCAACCTTAGAGCTTACATTTTCTTCTGGAGAGATGAAAACAGATTTTGACATTATTCAATTGGATTTTTTAAAAAGTTTCCTAAGTAACAATGGTCTGATGTATAGACAATGTAGTTCTCTTGTGAAAAATGCTGAAACTTATGTGGGGAAAAAGGAATGTTCCAGTAAGCTTCCTCGAGAGGATTTTTTTGGGGTTAAAATACTCTTTAATTATTGGTATTTTCCAATTTAACACTAGTAGCTTGGAACTCCTATCTTAAGTTGAAATTTTTTTTAAAAAAATAGGTATTTAACACTGTATGACAACATATTTACAGTTTAAATAGAAATTTTCCTTTCAATAACCAAAATACATCTTTAGCAAAAATTTAGAATGTAAAATTTTATAAAATAAACACCCATAGAAAAGCAGAGCATTATTTCAGTACCATTTCAGATTTTGCCCAAGATGAAGGTTTGTATGTAAATATTACCCCCCACCACCACCATGGACAAGCAATTTACCTTCCTGATTTGGGCTGTTTTTATAAAATTCTGATCCAAATAGATTTTCCAAGATGGACACTAAAATACTGATCAACAAAACCTTCAAGAAGAATCTGCAGTGCTGGCTGTGGGCAGCTGTGAAACAAGACCATCACATAAAACGCCTCTTTTTCTGGGTTCACTGTTCAAACTCTGCTTCTGCAGGGTGTTGCAGCCCTGCAATGCTGGTGCTACGTGGCTGCCTGATGGCCCCACACACAGGACTCACCTAAGCTGATGTAAGTGAGCGGCAAATAAACTGGCTTCGCAGGCCACAGTGCCCAGCCCGGCCTCTGTGAGCAAGAGCTTTCCGCTCACCTTAACGCTCAGGTGGGAGCCAGGCCAGAAACAGACTGGGAATCCGCCTCAGTGAAATACAATTGTGTGGTTTTTTTTCCCCCTTGTGATGACTATGCCCATCTCGAGGAAAATTCTTTTATTCATGTGGCTTGTTAAAAAGTAAGAAAGGAGTAGCGGTCAACTTTGGCCAAAACAAAAAGCTTTTGCGCAAGTGTCTAGCTCTGTCCAAGTGCACTTGGCTCCCGGGCTGCTCTTGATAGGAGTTTCTGGTAGAGGTATTTGCATGTGCTCCGTCAGCCACACCATCAGATTTCAGATCACAAATGATGATTTGTGTCTGAAGTCGCCCTGCAAGGCCAACACAGGTTAGAAACGGCCATCCTTGACAAACCCAGGGGCCCAAGTGGGAGAGGGAAAGTGGAAGCCAGATCTAATCCCCATTTCCCTGAAGAAACTTATGGCAAAACAAATCAAATGAAACCCTTCTTCAAAGGTAACATCTACTACTAGAGCCTGCAAACTGAATGCCAGGAGTGTGTAAAAACCCTGCATTGGGAAGGTTTCCAAGGACGAATGTCATTTTTTCTGGAAACACTTCGATTACTAGGTTCCCTAATCAATGTCTGCTCTGTTGCCTCACTCCTTTCCTTACCTCCTCATCTGTCCTGATATAGTTCACTCCATCTGACTTCCCCGGACTCTTATAACTGAAAAAGAAGGAAAGAGGGCTTCAATGACTGATTTTTCATGTAATGCCAACTTAAACTTTGGTTTGATCACTTAAGACAGAAGACAGGCTCACTTTTCGCCATTCTGCTTATTATTGATGAAGTAACCCCGTCTGTACGCACAGCAGATGCCCACAGTGATCAGGACCAGTACAGCAAGGACCACCAGGATTCCCCCAATAATACCACCGATGTTCAGATCATCTGGAAAAAAGAGGGATTAAGGGAAGAGAGGATACACACTATCTGGTCTTAGAAAAGTCCTTGACCCCACTTCTTTTTTGCATCCTTCCACTTCCCGCAACTGCCCTGTCATGCCTACTCCAGCCAGAAGAGCAGAGTGAGACCACTTCAACTCTTTTTTTTTTTTTTTTTAAGATTTTATTTACTTATTTGACAGAGAGAGACACAGCGAGAGAGGGAACACAAGCAGGGGGACTGGGAGAGAGAAAAGCAGCCTTCCTGCCGAGCAAGGAGCCTGATGTGGGGCTCCATCCCAGGATTCTGGGATCATGACCTGAGCCAAAGGCAGCCATTTAACCCACTGAGCCAGCCAGGTGTCCCCACTTCAACTCTTTTAGCCCAGAACATACAGGACCCCAGACCCCTGCTCTCACTTGTAAAAAGTACTGAGACCTCCACAGTTCAAATGCTGTTATACTTAATCCGGTATTAAAAGGGACTTAGGGGGCATCTGGGTGGCTCAGTGGGTTAAACCTCTGCCTTCAGCTCAGGTCATGATCTCAGGGTCCTGGGATCAAGACCCACATCAGGCTCTCTGCTCAGCAGGGAGCCTGCTTCCCCACCCCGCTGCCTGTCTCTCTTCCTACTTGTGATCTCTCTCTCGCTGTCAAATAAATAAATTTTTTAAAAAATCTTTAAAAGGGGCTTAGCATTTTTAAAAAGGCTTTACAATCTTCTGGCTAAATCCCTAAAAATATTATTAATGGAGAAAATTGTTTCACTTTATAGAGACAGAATTAAGGGGCCAAGAATCCCAAAGAAAAAATTCCTAATTTCCATGGATTTCCTTTGCTGTGCATTATTTGGGGGAAAAGAACTAGTGTTGCACAGGACTGAAAAGTAAAAATATGAGGTGGGAACATGACCTTTCACTCTCAGCTGCATGGCCTGATCTACAAGCCTCTTGGAGGAAAGCCCTTGACCCTCTCTTCCCATTTCTCTATACCGGGCAAAGGTGCCCCAGTCCACAACAGTGTGGGGCACTGGGGCTGTTTCCTCCATACAGACAAAAATGCAATGGAAAACATGCAAGCGATATAGCAACATAAGCCAGCTAACTTGGAAGTTGTTAAATTCTCCCTTATCTTAATGCAAGGGTTTCAAATGTGAGTGTGCATTTAAAAACTGGAATTTTAACTTTAAAATGTGAATTCCCAAGCTCTATCACTAGAGAGAGATTCAGGAGGTCTGGGGCAAAGTCCAAGAGTCTTCCTCCTGCCCTGGAGCAGTTTCCTGAATTTGACAGATGACAAGAATCCCCTGGAATTCTGTTTGACACACAGACATTTCCAGACCTCCCCTGAGGACTAAGTCCATAAGCCTGGGGTGGGGCCTTGGAATCTGTACATGAAACAGTGCAAAGGATTCTCATAATCAGGCAATCATGGAAAAGACTGCTCTGGGGTCAGTTATACTCAGGAAGGAGGGAGGGGCTGAGATAGCTCCCCAGGTGATTGTGAATGTGACATGCTCCATCTGCCCCATCCTGCCTTCAACATCTCTCCTTTAGAACCAGCGCCCTAGAGATGGCATCATCACAGAACATGCATGGTAAAGTTATTGAGGCTAAACCTCTGGCTGTCAGCTTACCACAAAATGGTTATAACTGGATAAATTTCTGGAGACTTTACATGACATGTTTTGATCTTATCAATTACCAAAGAAATGAAGTAATTTTTTCTATCTATCCATCCATCTATCCATATATTTATTTATTTTAAGTAGGCTCCACGCCCAGCATGGAGCCCAACACAGGGCTTGAACTCATGACCCTGAGATGAAGACCTGAGCTAAGATCAAGAATCAGATGCTTACATCCCAGAAGTGGAGTTTATTAAACACAGTTAAGGGGCATCTGGGAGGCTCAGTTGGTTAAGTGGCTGCCTTCAGCTCACGTCATAATCCCAGTACCTTAGAGCCCCTCATCAGGCTCCTTTCTCAGTGGGGAGCCTGCTTCTCCATTTCCCTCTGCTTTTCCCCCTCACTTGTGCTCTCTGGCTTGCTCTCTCTGTCAAATAAATAAAATCTTTAAAAATTAAAAAAAAAAAAACCTCAGTTTAAAGTGACATGATTAGCTATGTTCCCAACACCAGAAGACTCCAGAAAGTCTTATTTTGAGGAGATAAACATATTTCAAGTAACCACTTATTAGTCATTTAGCTGTTACTCAGAACTTTCTCATCTTTCCTTTCAATGTACCCAGATGGGTTTTGGTGAATTTAGTCATCTCCAGAAGAAAGGAGACCGGTTGTCTAAACTGATGGTCCAATATTAAATTAAAAATGTTCTATCCACTTGCCAGTCTTCAGATGAAATAGTTACAAAAAGTAACTCACAGACTTCCATCTCCTGCTCCTCACATCTGGCTGAGCCTGCATCATTGGAAGCGATGCAGTAATACTGCCCAGAGTCCTCCTTGTGAACAGCATTGAAAACCTATTTCAGTAAATTACAAGTAAATCATGAGACCAATCAACAGGGCAGACCTCTATGGACTGAAGACATCACTATGCTCCGCCACCCCCGCCTCCCAACAAGGTGCTAAGTCCAGAGCGCAGTAAAATATCTCATTTGCTCTTGGCTTCCTTTCAGTTTCCTGCACTGTCAGGTTCTTCCCTGATATTCTTCCCCAGCAGTCTTGCCCAAGAGCTCCTGAACAATGAGATCCCCTCAGATTTTTGGAGATATCAAAGCAACATTCAGAATGCAGTGTGAAGATAAGAATAAGGATTGTTTCTCAGCAACACTTGGGCAATACAAATACAGAGGATTTTATATAACCTGGCTTGTTACTACGTATAGTTAAATACGCCAAGGATCAGGAGGGCTGGCTGTAGGAAAGCCCAGCTGAGATGCTGCTGCGGAGGGCAGTCTGTCTTCTATACATGACCAATCTAACTGCATCTTGCCCCCCAACCACTTTCCACTACCATCACTGGGTTATTTTGAAGAACATTCTAGACACATTTTATCCATAAAAACTTCAGCATGCAGCTCTAAAAGACAAGGACTTCTTCAGATTATAACTATAATACCTTATTGTACCTAAAGCAATGAACAATTCCTTAACATCGAATATTCCACCAGTAATCCAGATTCCCTGTCTCATTACAGGTGGTTATTCACATCAGGACCCTAACATCACCCATCCATTATATTTCTTTAATAGACCTACACAATCACCTTTATTTTACAAGTTTCCCTTCCTTTATTTTAATCCTTTTAGAACTTACTTGCTTATATAAAGGAGGGAGGGTTCATTTTTTCCCACAGAATCCCCAACATTATAGGTTTTTAGTTCCTGTCTTATAAAGTTTATTGTTTTTCCTAGTAAGTGCTCTTCCCACCATAAATATCCCTTCCTCAACAAAGACATTTCTTCTATACTTACGTCCAAGAAGAGATCTTACCAGAGTGCCTGTTTCAGAGTTTAAGAGAAAAGAGGAATTTCGGAATCTAGGATTGGCTCTGGAGTCTGTGGGCAGTGGCACATCGTTGCGGTACCAGCTGTAGTGTGGCCGGGGGTAGCCCTCACTCTCCTGGCAGTGCAACGTGGCCGTCTTGCCTACAGGTACAGCCTTCGGGACTCTGCACACAGGAGGGACTGGCTTCACTGTGGAAGAAATTCAAGTTGGGGTTTCAAATCAGCCACATGGATTGATTCTTCTGAAAGTCCATAATAAACCTGCTCATAAAAAAGGAAAACCAGCCAGGGGATGCACCACTGCCATAGCCATGTCACGCCCACGGGCTTGGATCTGCCATGGCATCTGCCCCACACACAGCTCACCCCCATGTATAACCCAAAGTGCATTTCTAATGCCTGCCCCTCCTGAGGAGCACTTCCTACAGCTGGTTGGGGGTAGTGGCCGGAGCTCCACCTCCCTTCTCGCCTTCTATCCCAATTCAGGCAGTCCAAGCTCCTAAAACCGCCTGCCCCCTAAGGCCTGTGATACCCTCAGGGATATACCTCTGGGAAGAAAGAAAGAGCTAATCTCTTTTATTTATTTTTATTTTTATTTATTTTTCCACCTCCCCAACCTTTTTTATTTTATGGCAGATTCATGAGGTCTAAAAGGGGGAACATATTTTTAACTTCATGTGAGTTCCTACCTTGAACAGTTAACTCAATAACAATCTCATCAATTTCTTTCCGGTCGTTTCGAGCAACCACCTCACAGCGATAAAGGGCTGAGTCTGTCCGGGTCACATTCCAGATCCTTAGAGAGGTTTTCCCCAATAGTTCTGCACGACCTGCCAAATCTCCTACAGAAAAGAAGATGCAGAACACAAAAAGACTGTTTAAAGACATCTTTGTCACCTGTGAAGAAGGTGGCTTCTGGGGCTAGCATTTAATGCCTCAGTAAGGACACTGCAGACTGGCTTCTCCTTCTGCTCCTGTAAAAGAGAGGTAAACTAAGGACACTGAGCACCAAAATAGTACCTGGTGTGTAAGAGGACTCATTACATGTGTCTCTGTTGTTAAAGCAGGGACCTTGGGACGCCTGGGTGGCTCAGTCAGTTAAGCATCTGCCTTCAGCTCAGGTCATGATCCCAGCATCCTGGGATCGAGTTCTGCTATCGGGCTGCCTGCTCAGCAAGGAGCCTGCTTCTCCTTCTGCCTCCCTTCTCCCCTGCAACCTGCTCATGCTTTCTCTCTGACAAATAAATAAAAATCTTTTTAAAATAATAAATAAATAAATAAGCAAGCAAGCAAGCAAGCACGGACCTCATTTCATTCTCATCATTCCTAGCCAGGATTCCCCATTAAAAGAGAAAAAAAAAAAAAAAAATCAAACAAGCAACATGAAAAAAACAACCAGTATTCATAAATGGTGCTAGGGCAGCTGGATATCCACATGCAAAAGAATGAGGCTGGACTCCTACCTCACACTATACAACAAAGACTTTCCTCCAAGAGTTAACAGTATGGGGGCTCCTAGTGGCTCAGTCAGTTAAGCTGTGGCTTAAGTCAGTTAAGACCTTCATCAGGCCTCAGGCCATGATCCCAGGGTCCTGGGATCGAGCCCCACTGCTCAGTGGGGAGTCTGCTTGTCCCTATCCTTCTGTCCCTCCCTGCTGCTTGTGCTCTATATCTCAAGCACTCACTCTCTAATAAATAAAACTAAAAATAAAACAAAATAAAACAAGAGTTAACGGTATGGCTCTCAGGAAAAAACAGATATAAATCACTATGACCTTGGCTTAGGCAATAATTTTTTAGAAATGGCACCAAGACCACAAGCATAAAAAAAAAAATGGCTCACACTGGACTTTCATAAAAAATTTGAAAACTTCTGTGCTTCAAAGAACACATTCAAGTTTTGAAAAGACAATCCACTAAATGGGAGAAAGTATCTGCATATCATGTATCTGGGAAAAAGAACTAGTGTCCAAATATATAAGGAATTTGCAACTCAACAATAAATGGACAAATAACCTAATTAAAAATAGACAAAGGATTTGAGTGGACATTTCTCCAAAGAAAGTATATTAAATGGCCCCCAAGAACATGAAAATATGCTCAGCATCATTAGTCACCAGGGAAATGCAAATCAAAACCACAATGAAGTATTACTTCATACCCACTAGGACAGCCAGATTGAAAAGGTGGGCAATTACAGGGGCACCTGGGTGGCTCAGTTGGTTAAGCGTCTACCTTCAGCTTAGGTCATGATCCTGAGTCCCAAGTCAGGCTCCCTGCTCAGCGGTGAGTCTGCTTTTCCCTCTGACCCTCCCCACTCTCATGCTCTCTCTCTCTCTCTCATTCTCTCTCTCAAATAAATAAATAAAATCTTAAAAAAAAAAAAAGGGTGGACAATTACAAATGTTAGTGAGGATATAGGGAAAAACACTGCTGAAAGAATGTAAAATGGTGCAGCCATTTGGGAATATAGTTTGACAGGTTCTAATATAGTTTATATATAACTACCATATTACGTAGCAAGTGTACTTTTGGTCATTTATCCATCCCCAAATGAAACCTTGTTTATACAAAAAACATTATGCTTACATGAATATCCATAGCTACATTATTGATAACACCCCAAAACTGGAAATAACCCAAGTGTACATCAACTGATAAATGGATTTTAAAAAAGTGGCCTACGTGCAATGAAATATTATACAACCATATAAAATGGGATGAAGTACTGATACATGCTACACCGTGGATGAACCTTGAAAATAATATGCTAAATGGAAGAGGTTAGTCACCAAGGACCACGTATTGTATGATCCTATTTATATGAAGTGTCCAGAATAGGCAAATACATAGAGACAAAGTAGATTAGTGGTTGCCTGGAGGTGGGGACACGGTGGAAGGTAAGTCACTGCCAAAGGATATGCAGTTTCTTTTGGGGTTGATAAAAGTGTTCTGGAATTTGATAGCAGTGAGGGTTGCACATCTTTGTTGAATATACTAACAACTGCTGAAGTATACACTTTAAAAAATGTGAGTTTTATGCTATATGAACTATATCTCAATATTTAAAACTTTTAAAGCATAAAAAGATGGTAAGTCTTTCAAAGAAGCATGAAGAACCTAAAGAATGTCAAATAAAGGAGCGCCTGGGTGGCTTAGTCAGTTGAGCTTCTGCCTTCAGCTCAGGTCGTGATCCCAGGGTCCTGGGATTGAGTCCCGCATTGGGCTCCCTGCTTAGTGGGGAGCCTGCTTCTCCCTCTGCCTCTGCCTGCTGTTCCCCCTGCTTGTGCTCTCTCTGTCAAATGAATAAATAAAATCTTAAAAAAAAAAATGACAAATAAGGGAAGGAATTAGGGGAAAAAAGGATACAAAAATAGAAAATAATTATTACTAAAACCTGATGACTGGTGGTAAGAACAGGAAGGATTTACCATAATATAATAAAACTAGAAAAATGCTTATGACAAAAGATGAACATTTGCAAAGGCATTTTCTAATAAGAAGGTTGTTATCCAGTAGCCGTTAGTGGAGGATTAGACTTCTACCATGTAAGCAAATCTATCAAAGATATGGTATATGTGTATATGTGTGTATAATTGAGAATATTACTCAACTATAAAAAAGAATGAGATCTATCCATCTGTGACAACATCAGCAGGCCTAGAGAATATATGCTAAGTGAAGAGAGATCAGACAGAAAGACAAGTACCATATGATTTCACTTATATGTGTGATCTAAAACACAAACCAAACAACAAAAAAAAGCCAGAGACAGATTACTAAATATAGAGAACAAACTGGTGGTTGCCAAAGGGGAGGGGGTGGGTGGCAGGGCAAAATAGGTGAAGAGGAAATTAAGAGAAACAAACTTCCAGTTATAAAATAAGTAAGTCATGGAGATAAAAAGTACGACAGAGGAAATACAGTCAATAATATTGTAATAATGTTGTATGGTGACTACTCTTCTTGCAGTGAGCACGGAGTATGATTTGTCTAATCACTATGTTATATACTTGAGCCTAATATAACACTGTGTATCACCCATACTTCAACAATAAAGTTTTAAAAAAATCTATCAGGATTGGGGTGCCTGGATGGCTCAGCCAGTTAAAGTCTGCCTTCAGTTTAGGGCATGATCCTAGGGTCCCAGGGTCCTGGGATCCAGCCCCACATCAGGCTCCCTGCTCAGTGGGGAGCCTGCTTTTCCCTCTCCCTCTGCAGCTCCCTCTGCTGGTCCCTGTTTGTGCTCTCTCTGTGTCAAATAAATAAATAAAATCTTAAAAAAAAAAAAAAAAAGGCTTAATGGCTGAGCCACCCAGGCGCCCCAATAAGTCAATCGGAGAAAGACAATTATCATATGATCTCCCTGATATGAGGGAGAAGAGATGCAACATGGGGGGTTAAGGGGGTAGGAGAAGAGTAAATGAAGCAAGATGGGATTGGGAGAGAGATAAACCATAAGTGACTCTTAATCTCACAAAACAAACTGAGGGTTGCTGGGGGGGAGGGGGGTTGGGGGG